ATCCATTTATCACAACTTGCTTAGCCATTCTCCAGTTGATGAACATCTGCATTGCTTCCAGTTCTTCGCTATTGCAAGAAGTGTAAATCTACACATATCTTGGCACATATGGGGCCTTCCTTTTTTTGTTATTACTTCAGATATTAGCCTGGTAGGGGAAGCTCTAGGTCAAAGCGTATGGACACTTTAACCACTTTCTTTGCCTAATTCCAAATTGCCTTTCAGAGTTGTTGGACCACTTTAATAGACTCTTAAGAGTATGGAGGGATATTGGAGGTCATCTACTCATAGGCTCATACATAGATTTAGAGCAGGAGGGCCATCTGGTTCGTTCCCCTCATTTTACAGTTGAGGAACCTGAAGTTTAATGAGGTTCAGTGGCAATGGTCATCCAGGTGGTAAGTGACAGAGGTAAGATTTGACTCCATGGCTAGTGCCTTCCTCACTGTACCGCACTGTCAATAAACTTCCAGTGATAAGGAACTAACAAAGTCAAACATTTTTAGGCAGCTTAAGTAAAAGGAAGTCCTTCCTTTTTTTTGAGTCAACATCTTTCTTTTCTTCCTACTTTTCCGAGTAGAATTCTGCTCAAAAGCAAGATGGAGTGGAAGTAAAAGCCTTTGTGGAAACTGGATGTTCACAAAAGAAACTGTACCAACAAAGAGATAGAGATTCCAATTGATGCTCAAGTGTTCATTGGGCTTAATGTCATTCAAGTGAGCTTAAAAAGCCTTCAACATTGTCTACTGTAGCTGCCATCCATCAGCATTCCTCACCTCCTTTCCCCCCTCTTTTCTCTAGGCTGATTCTCTAAGTGAATTAGCTCTGTTCCTCCTTCTTGAAGTCAGTGGAGAAAACTATGTTCATTTGGTTGTTTCAAACATTTTTAGAGTGTGTATTTCTCAAATCCAAACTGACCGAGGTTTTGAGTAAAAGGAGTTGCTATATTTAAAAAGGCTCTGTCCACGTCTCATTCAAGGGCATGCTCCTTACCAGCATGGCAGGAAGAGCAACTGGATTTTAATCATGCCTGGCTTCACAGTCTGCTCATTAGAGGCCCTCTTGTAACAGACAGTCTGCTTTATGTGAAGACTGCTCTGTGGCAGATAAAGCAGGTCAGAGGGGAGAATATTTTCAAGTCATTGTCAAGTTGTTTATGCCTGCAAAGGACAACTACACAGAGATCCTGTCACAATACAGTGAACTTTTTAAAGATAAAACTTTTTATGGGAGAATATTTGAAAGTAGCTTCTCCAACCCTAGGGTCTAGGGCAGGAGTGGAAAATCTCTGACCTGTCTTTGCTTCCTTTTTGAAGGTTCAAGGCAAACACAATATACATTGTTCGGGGAGGCCTTTACTGGGTTGGCTCAAATCATAGAGTAACTAGGGTTATCTACTCATTTCAACTCAAAGAACATTTATTACAGGACTTCTTAATGTAAAGCATTGTTGTGCTGTGCAAAGATTAAAAATTGCCTAGTTCCAGTCCTCAGGGAGTTTCCAATCTAGGAGGGAGAAAACAATTGTACATAAAGAAGGGTAATACAACATAGGACTATGATAATGCGTAATAAAATTTTAAAGTACAATCAGTGAATGGGGAAATAGGCCAAAAGTTCCAGGAATAGATCTCTCTTAGGGGAAAGGGACCCAGGGGAAAATGTCAGAAAATTCTAGGAAAAACTTCGGAGGTTTTCTATTTCTAGCTAGAAAAACTAGATTTTTTTTTATCTGAGTGAAGAAAACAAAAGATTAAATTTCTAGCCTTAGTCTGCCATCCAACTTTATTCATATTTATGTTTATACTACTTTATTTTTAACTATCATGGCTTTACCAAGTGTTTTCTAGTTACCTTGTTATTTATTTTTTCAAAAATATTTTCTTAAATCTGAGATCAAACTAACACTTGTAAAATATCTGTTATTTCACTCAGCTTATGAAGTGCTCTCTTCTCTGGTCATGTGAAATTTTGAGGCAAGATTTTATTTCATACCCACCTGATCTGATTATTCTTCTTTTATGTACCTCAGCTGCTGCTAAGCGATAGAGCCTGTAAGGGTTGATGGGGATCAATTTCAGGTCGTGGTGGGCTAGAGCTGTTCTGTCAGCCCTGTTAGGTAAAGGATGAGTGATAGTAGCATCTTTGGATCATAAACTTAGCCTAGAAGGGGCTAGAGGTCATTTAGTTCAACCCCCTTTTAATCTCAGTAATTGGCCATATTAAGCCCTTAAATGCTTGTTGAATTGAATTAACTTGAAGAAATTAATACCCAAGGAGGTTAAATGGCTAAATCTTCTGATTCCAGATCCACCTAATTAGGATGCCTCCTAGTAAGGAAAAGTGTGTTAAAGGTGGAAGATTTTGACCTTTTTCTCTACCTTCTTTGCCTTCTCTCTTCCTATAGCCACCCCACTTCCCTTTATTTCCTTCAACCCAATTTTGTTTTTTTTCCTTTCTCCTTTTTTCCCCCCTCTCATCTCTTTCTATATGTAGTAATACCTAGATTATTCCATGATTTCCTTAGTAGAGATACTCTCATCAACATCACTCTTGTGGTATAAAACATCCATACCTCCTTATCCTGTAAATTATTACCTGTCTTTTTGGTAAATCCTCCACTGAGAAATGCCTTAATGGGATAGAGACCTTCTCTGCAGCAGTGCTTAGTATTTTCTGGGAGTTTATCAAATGAGTTTTCTATCTGTTATCTTTTACTCTCACTGCATGATAGACATACCTCCCTTTTCAGTCATATCTGTCCCTGCAAATGTATTTCATACCACTTTTTGATCAAGAGACATCCATAGTAATATGTTTTGTGTACTCTCATGTACTATGTATCTTTTTTTTTTTTTTTAGGCAATTGGGGTTAAGTGACTTGCCCAAGGCCACACAGCTAGTAAGTGTCAAGTGTTTGGTCTGAGGCTGGATTTGAACTTGGGTCCCCCTGACTTCAGGGTGGGTGCTCTATGCACTGCACCACTTAGCTGCCCCTTACTATGTATCTTTCTATACATCCACTACATTCATTACCCTTTGAATCATTTGAAATTAAGATTTTTCTGAGACTTTGGTGTCTGATGATTTACAGAGAGAATATTGGCATTAAAGAGATGAACTCTAATGGCATTAAGGACCTAAGGATGACTAAAAATGCTGCAGAATTCCCTAAATATGACCCAGACCAATCTCTTTCTTCTTCATAATGTGAGGTAGTGATAGGTAAGGACGTCTTAGTAACTTTTTTAAAAGGCATAATTCCAAGCTGTTTTCCAGAATGGCTGGATCAATCACAGCTTCACCAGCAATGTATTAATTTGCCTATACGATTAGTTATTTGAGTTGTCTTTCATATAATCGTTGACAACACACTTCTCCTTTAGAAAATAACCTGTTTATATCCTTGGATTCCTTACACATTGGGAAATGCCTTTTCTTATTATATATTTGCATGAATTTGTTTATCTTGCATATTAGACCTTTTTCAGAGATATTTGCTGCAGATCTTTTTTTTTTTTCCCCAATGAACAATTTCTCTTCTTATTCTATGGTATTGACTTTGGTTATATTCAAATGGATCTGTGATCTCATTAATTTGGAACTTCCCTTAAAGAACAAACATTTGGGATTTAGGTGATTAGTTGAATATCATATCTCTTTCTCATTCTTTCTTTTTAGACTTTGACCAATTCTGATCTTTTTCCTTTTTTTCTAGAGTGTTCCAATTATATAAAGACAGCTGATTCAGGGACAACACATTAACAGCAAGATTTTTTGTCAGCTAAAATATAACCTATTACATTTTTAGTTATGTTACTTGGTTTTTGCCATGTGCTGTGCTAATTAGTTAATTTCTTTAAAAAAAAGTGTACATGATACAGAGGTACGAGACTTCTTTATAATCTACAATTCTTTGGCTTTTCTCATTTCTTTTTTTGTTCCTTGAACCGTGCTATCCTATGTATTTCTTGCCATCCTCACCTTTTCCTACATTTGCATTGAAGTCAATGTGTAGCATAGTATATATTGCTTAAATTTGTATATTTTTATTGAGTTCTTCATAGAATTCCTCTACCTTTTCCTCCTCAGCAACTGATGTGTGTTCAAAAACTTCAATTATTTTCATGGTTGTCTTTTTTCAAATACTTATCAGAATGAGATGACTAAATATCACCAAATACAAAATGATATTTCTTGTTGCTTTTGGATATATGATAAAAACAACTCCATTCTTTGATTCTCTATGATGTACCTGTGATCTATCCTTCCATACAATTTTTTTTCTCCTTTCTCATTTCCTGTACAGTGAGAATTTCAAGACTGATATGATATACTTTCCCTATTAGTATGCGCACTCTATTGGACATCAGATAAGAAGCTCACATTTAGAGTACTGAGAGTCAAATTGAAGTTTATAGGTGATCTAAAAACCATATGATTGTTAGCCCATTTTGCCCTCTTTCCTTTTTTTCTGTCATTGCAGAAGAAAGAGCATTTTGTTCATGCAAAAGCTTTCAAAATTTTGGATGATTGAAATATATTTTACTGTACATTATGGTAATTTTTATCTTTTGTTTAATTAAGAATTCTCCTCCACCCATAGTTATGCAAATTGCTTTTCCTATTTTCCTATTTTTTTTTGATGATGAGACCTAATTAGATCCCATATCCATTAAATGTTTATTGTATATGGTATGAGATGTTGTACCTTCTGTCTAGCAAACTTCCTTTTAGCTTTCCCAAGAGTTCTTGTTGAATAGGGAGTCCTAGCTGTAACTGAGATTGTTGAACACTAGGCTGCTCTGTTCAATTGTTTCTGAGTCTTGTTTAGAGAGGTTACTTTTTCTCCTGACATCAACATACATACATATATATATATATACACACACATATATATATACATATATATATATATATATATACACACATATATATCACAAAACATAAACTAGGGCACAAAGGATTGTTATGTATTTCAAACATAAATATTTTTACAGGAATTATTGAATTACACAAGAAGCTCTGGCTGAGACAAGACATCAAAGGCACATATATTGGTTAAGATCAGTAAGATTGTCTGAAACCATGTGTCAGAGAAAATTCTCTTGGGATAAGAAAATGAAGATTTGAAATTACTTCCAAGAGTAAGTACAATATTCCCATGGATATCTACCACTCAAGAAACTAACATTTTATATTACATATTTATTTTTAGAAGGTGAAACTTCTGGTGGTGATTGCTATTTGTCTCTGAAAGATTCAATAATCACTGGAAATTTCTTCTGTCCTACAGTCACAAAAATTTCATTTTGGTTTGTTACTGTTGTAGCTTTTCAAAGTACCTCATGCTACATGTGCCTGACTTTTGGGTTTGGAATCACAGAGTCACAGAATTTTAGATGCTGAAAGGGACCTTAGAAGTCATCAAACCCCACGTGCTTACTTAAAGATGAGGAAACAGTCCAAGAGAGGTGAAATGACTTGTTAATAGATGACTTTGGGAGAGCAAAAATCTAATCCCAGGTCTTCTGACTCTCATTCCATTCTCTTTCCCTCCATGGAGAGCCCAGACTCAGGAAAAGTCAGCTTGCTGTTGCTTCTAAGTTCAGGTGTATTTAATTATATGTAACATATGCATATCTGAAAAGATCTCTGTAATCAAAGCATTTAAATTCATTGGGAGAGCTGATTATTAAAATAACAATAAATTCCCCCTTCCCATCATAGCAACATTTATTATAGAATCATGAGATACAGAGCTCAAAGGGACCTTAAAGATCATCTAGTCAAACTTTCTTAGGATCGATGTAATAGGAAGTTTATGGAAGACCTTCTACTCAATTTGATGAGTTCCTCCAGCCCTCTTTGTGAGATTTCAGGGTGCAGACTTTTTATCCACAAATATAGGTGAGCACTTCCTATCAGTTCTATGTGAACTGAGTCTTGCTGAGAGGCATGCACTCTGGTGCCTCATTAAGATGGGTTATCAATGGGCAACCAAATGGGTTACCCATGATGGGAAGACGGCTGAGCACTGGGCTGGAGTAACAGATGCCTGTTGGAATCTGTTTGCTTCTGTAGACTGTAAGAATAAGGCTCTCTCTTTTGAAACCTTCTACCTTGGCATTCTTTTTGAGCACTTTCTTTTCTTTGGAATTATAGGAAAGAAGGGTGAGGATTTCTTCTTCCTTGCAATCCCACCCCCTAGTAGCAATGGTGGCCCATGGCAGAAGCACATGGCAAGAGGAGAAACATGCTTGCCTAGGTAAGACTGAAACTGGATCTTGAGTCACTGACTGCCTTCTTTATCCTTTCTTTTTCATTTTATAAGCACAAGTTAGTGACCAGCAATCTTGAAAATGGATATTTCCACTCTTGGAAATTACTATATGGATCGAAGTTTCTTGAGTTCAAGTATTGGGCATCAAATGACCAGAAGAAAAAGGTTCACTGATGCCATGCTTCTGCTTTTGGCCACTATTACCACTGGAATGTTGGAGTACAGAATTTTTCTGTGTCATCCCAACAAGTAACCATGTTGCATGCCTCTCAACAAGATTCAAGTCAAGTCAATAAGCATTTATTAAGTGCTTACCATATGCCAGACACTGTGCTAAGTTCTGGGAACACAAATATAAGCCAAAAGAAAGATAATTCCAGCTCTGAGATAGAGAAATACTAGAATAGGGATGGGAGATAAAGTTACCTAATTTGGGAGCATGGAAAGTCTGAAGAGTCAAGGGTGAGCGCAGCCTGGAGAGGAATGAAGACCTGGCTGGCCTGGGTGATTTCCCCAAAATATAGGCTCTAGGAGGAACCACGCGAACCTGAGGAGAAAACTGCAGGGAAGAGATGATGAGAAGTCTAAGGGTGAACTGAGCTTCTAGATTTTCTGTGGTGTAGTAGAGAAAATCTGGAGAGTCAGGAGTACAAGCTGGAGAGAAGGTTAAGTGTGTGTGTCCACATTCATGGGAAGTACTACTTTCTTGGTGAAGATTTCCTACCCTATAATCTCATAAAGTGCTTTGGGAAGACTCATCAAATTGAACATGAGTTATTTCGATCAACATCCATATTACATGTAGATGAGGAAACAGACCTGGACAAATATAGTGACTTAATTGAGGACACAGTGAATGACAACTCTAATATTCAGAGCTAAATTTTCTGAATCCAAGTTCAATGGTCTTTCCATTTCTTCTTGTAAAGAGGGTAATTCTTTTATTCATTCAATAATGACCCAAGTATAACTATTTTGCAAATTACATTTTCCTATATTGGATTTGCAAAAAATAGGATATACTTGCAGGACCCAGCTTTATCACATTGTTTTAGGTTGCCTTGCTACATATCTTTATAATATTTCTAAAGTCTGAGATGCTTGCAATTGCCTCACTTCTGCTTTGTAGTTAGGGAGTATTCTGATGTCCCCCATTACCTCACATGTTTGCCTAATGTAGCTGTTTTGTAACAAACATTTCATAAATGCTTGTAGGTGGGCTATATTCCAAGGAAGAGCTTGGATTTGATCTAGGGCTAGGTAGGTTAGGTAGCTAAGCTGCCTTGGATACAATATTCAGGGAGACCGGCACAGGAGTTACTTTTCAACATGCTTGCTTCAACAAATCTAGGATCTCTCCATTTTTTTTAACAGCATACTACTTCAACTGACACGGTTTACAAGTATAGTAGATGGTCTTTGAGTTGTCGGGGCCAAAAAGTAAGTTTATCACTCTGATGCCAACCGTCGTGAGTCTTTTCAGATGTAGCTAACTTAGTCCTCAGATGAAGGCAGCCAATTATAGGCCTGGACCCCAAACCTTCCAGCTTGTTAGAACATGCTAGAGCTTGCTTTCCACAGGTGTAGCCTTACTATTTGGGATCATTTCCATGCTGTGTCAAGGCCTGGGATTAGGACTTAAAAAAGATAAATGCCCATGTTTTTCATGCCAGCACATTTCATTGTCTGTGTTTCATAGGCTTTTTTGGTGGTTGTTGTTCTGTTTATTAGTTTTGGATGACGTCACACATATTCCAGCGAAGGCTTGAAGGCTCTGGGGAAGAATAACACTTGGAGGCTTGATTTTCAAATGTGTGCAGGGCTGAGTATAACTTCTGTGGTTCTACTTAGTGTGGGGCATCGGTTTATATAAGTCTTCCCAGGCTTCTTGGAATTCCTCAGATTTAGCACTTTTATAATTTAGTAATATTTTATTATGGAAGGAGGAGAACAGAACACCTACTACGTACCAGGTACTATGCCAAGTGATTTACAAAGATTATCTCTTTTGATCCTCACAACAACCCTGGGAGGTAGGTGCTATTATTATCCCCATTTTACAGTTGGTAAAACTGAGGTAATCAGGGGTTAAGTGATTTGCAAAGAGTCACTCAGCTAGTAAGTTTTTGGGGGCAGAATTTGAATTCAAATCTTCGTGACTCCAGGCCCAGTGTTCTATTCACTGTGTCACCTAACTGACTGTATAAAACTCTATTATACAAAGAAACAAAAACAAAAACAAAAAACAAGACAAAAGGGGCAGCTAGGTGGCACAGTGGATAGAGCACCGGCTCTGGATTCTGGAGAACCTGAGTTCAAATCCGGCCTCAGACACATAACACTTACTAGCTGTGTGTCCCTGGGCAAGTCACTTAACCCCCATTGCCCAACCAAAAACAAACAAAAAAATTAAAAAAATTCTATTATACTATTATATTCATGTGCCACAATTTGTTTAGCTATTTCCCAACTGATATGCACTTACTTTGTTTCCAGTTCTTTCCTACTACTAAAAATATTGCTTTAAATGTTTTGGTTCATGTGGTACCTTTCTATCTTTGTTTTTTGACTATCTTGAAGCTTATGCCTTGAAGTGGGATCTCTGGGTCAAAGAGTGTGGACATTTTAGTCACTTTCCGAGCACAATTCTCAAATGCTTTTTACAATGTTTGGATCAGTTTACTGCCCAGTCTTGGAATTTTTCAAGCCTTCTCTAGGTTGCACGAAGGTCTTGTTCTCTTCTATGATGTCCGTGTTATTCATAGTTTACTTTTATTTGATAGGACTTAATAGGTGGCTCTGATTAGGCTGCTGAAGAAATCTGATATGATGTCTGTGGCATTTTGAGCAAAGAAATTTGGAGACAGTCCCCACCAACTCTCAAGTTTGTTTTATCTTTCAACGACACATTGTTGCCATATTCTTTTTTTTTAATTTTTAAAATTGCTATGCTAGTTTTCACATATTGCCTGGGTGGCAAAAGTCAGAGGCAGCTCCTACAGCTGGATTGAAGATAAAATATTTTGAATCTTTAATTACCTGTAGGGATTGTTCTTCAGATGTTATAGTTAGTCCATCATACTTTTCTCTCTTTGCCAAATGGTTCTTGCTTGTGTGAAGAATCTTCATGGGTATCATGAATACAAACATTAAAAAGAAGCAGCTCAGTGATTTTCAGTAGTCATAGAATCTGAAAAGAAATAAAATTCAATATTCTTTGTTTTAATTTTTTTTATAGATTTACTTTGTTTTTATATTAACCATCATTTCTGAATACATTCCCCTCCTTCCCCTAATGAAGGATCTGGTTGTTGTTGTTTTTTTTTTTTATAATTTATTTATTTTTAGTTTTCAACATTCACTTCCATAAGATTTTGAATTTTACATTTTCTTCCCCTTCCTCTCCTCTCCTCTCCTCTCCTCTCCCCAAGATGGCATGCAATCTGATATAGGCTCTACATATACATTCATATTAAGCATATTTTCACATTAGTCATGATGTATAGAAGAATTAGAACTAATGGGAGGAACCACAAGAAAGAAGAAATAAAACAAAACAACAAAATAAAAGGAGGGCAAATAGTATTCTTCCATCTGCATTCAGACTCCATGGTTCTTTTTCTGGATGTGGATAGCATTTTCCATCATAAGTCTTTCACAGTTGTCATAGATTCTTGCATTGCTGAGAAGAGGGGATCCAGTCTTTGTAACGAAGGTCAAAAAAAGAAAGAGAAAAAAACATTTAGCAAAATCAACTGATGCACCTGACAGTTTATAGAACATGTTACATCCATAGTCATGCACCTGGTGATAGAACAGTATTCTTACCCCTCCCCACATGCAAGTTAGGCTAGTTTTCCCTTG